TAAAACTCCAACGAATAAGGTACACCAACTTTGAATTCAAATTCCAAAAAATCAAATTTGAATTCAAACAAAGGAGAAGAAAAATAAAAACAGAAAAAGGAAAGAAAGGGAGAAGACCACAGTGGCTCATCCGCCCGTCCGCCATCGATGGAGCTCGGACCCAATTTCCAGGGGCTATAAAGCGACGCTAGAGTGCGTCTTTGCTATGAGTTCTCCATCGCCCGACCCGTGGCCAAACCACCCCTTGTGTCGCCTCTTCCTCCCTATGCCAAGAGACCCGAGCGAGACCCAACAAAAAGAAAGGGTCATGCAAATCACACCGCCTGTCCCCTTGGTGTAGAAGAAGAAGCGCCGTTCGATGCGATGCCAGCGGCGCGACGCGACCATCCGCCCGTCGCCATCGATGGAGCTCGGACCCCGGGGCTATAAAGAGATGCTAGAGCGCCCTAGAGTTCTCCCATCGCCCCACCGCCACCTTGTGGCTATCCACCGCACAACCGAGCCAAGAGAAAAGGGGGTTAGAGGAAGAAGAAAGAGCGCTTGAAAGCCGCCGGCGTCGCCGGTGTCGCCGACATGACGACACGAACCCGCCACTACACCGCATGGCTTCGCCTCGACACGGCCACAACCCGCCATCGCACCGCGCATCCTTTCGTTTTCGACACCGGCGGTGAGTCCTCATCTTCGAGACTTCTCCTAGCCCTTGACGCCGTAGAGTAGAGCACACGACATGCGCGCGCCATCACGCCGCTGGCGCCATCACGGCTGCGGCCACCACTGGCGCACCCGGCCGCCTCGCCTGACTAGGACGTAGTCGTAGCACCACCGTGACGCCCGGAGGGTAGCCGCGTAGACCGAGACCCCATTAGCCGGCCACAGCACCCTGGCCACGACCACCGGACCTCGGCCGGAGCTCCGCCGTGCACCCCCACCGCTCGCAGACTCCGCCACGCCTTTTGGTCACCATCGTCACTTCACCATGTCGCCCGCTAGCCGTCTGGACGGGAATGGGGCACCAGGACCCCTAGACATAGCCCCTAGCTGCCTCGCTCGACGAGCACCGCCACGACCAATCCGCCAACCACCGTGGCCAACGCCCTAGGAAGCCCTGGCCGCCACCTTGACCCCACTACCGTATTCACCGAGGCCTGACGAAGCTTTTCCCCACTTCAATTGGACGCCAACGCGCTGTGGGAGCTCACCGGAGAGCACACCAGGAAGGGAAGCAGAGGAATCCTTCCTCACCGGCCGCACGCGCCTGCACCCGGTGCACATGGACCAAGCCAGGGGGAAGAAGGGTGGACTCGGTCCATCGAAGACCAGCCAATGGTCCATGGACCGTGAACATGAGTCCATCGTGAACCACACAGTGTGGGCTGAGCTGTGAATGAAGCCTAGTGGGGGCCCATGGCTACGACGTGGCAGCGCCACAGCATGCCACGTGTCCAGGCCGGCCCGGCCCAAATCCAGCCCTATCTAGGCCCACCAAAGCCTAGTCGAGACCCAACATGGTTGACCGTTGACCGGTCAACATTGACTGTTGACCTGGCCCCACATGTCAGCGGCACAGAGACTCTAGACCCACACGTCAGTAAGTGACGTCATGCTGATGTCATGACGACGTCATGCTGATCCCACGTGTCAGTAACAACACAGCCGAGGTGACTTCATGCTGACGTCACGATGACGTCAGCAGCCCTGGCCCCACACGTCAGTGACCCTGACCCATTGACCGTTGACTCACCGTTGACTTTACGTTGACTTTGGTCGGACCCACATGTCAGTGACCCAAGAGCCTCTGGCCCCACACCCGGAAACGATGACGTTGATGACGCCCTACGACGTCTCAGGACACGAGATGTCGACGTCAGAGCTGATGATGTCGCCAAGATGCCATGTGGACCGATCCATAGCGTGACACGTGTTAGCCCAAGATTAATTCAGCCTTTTTTCCATTTTCGTAAATGATTTAAACTTCGAAATTCATAACTAATTCATATGACCTCGTAAAAATACGAAACCAGGACCAAAATTTATCTAAAATCAAGCTCTACACAATGAACCCATGTTTGAGTGCATTTGGCTCTTTTGAATTTTCATTGCTTCTTTGTGCTATTCTATAGACGTCGCTAACGCGACTATAATGCGATTGTTTGCAGACTCGGAGGAGAACCGGACGGACGAGGATCGTGAGTACCGTGAGGAGTACGGAGACGACTACACTGAAGGTGCCACATCCCAACCAATCTCGTAGCACCTATTACGCATGGCTAAAATAGAAATGCTAGTGTTTTACTTTATTGTTATGATCACACTATGATAGGACTTGCATGGTAGTATGCTTTCTTGATGGCCTTTACCTTGATGCAACCTTACCCCTGCTCACCCTGCTGTTAGGCTAGTCACACGATTGCTGCTATATTTCATTGCTTAATACTTCTACTACGCTTGTACTACATTGATGCATGGTGGAAAACTGGTGTTATCTGGACTATGGGGAGAGTGCAGCGTGTGTGACTTAGGTGCGTGGAGGGTGAGGGTTGTGTCGACTAAGTTGGAGTATACGACGAGCCTGGGGCACTTCTTGCCGTGGGGTGCTACCTGGGCACCCCTGGAATGGATACCTGTGGTGGGTAAATAATATATGAGGTGACCATGGGTGTGAACCTATGATGGGAGGAGCCTAGGGTGGAGGTGCTGTGGTGGCATGGTAAATGGAAACCCTGATGAAGACATTCTGGCTTGGTCATCCCTAAGGACTTACTAGTACTCAGATTCACCGGGAAACCTTACGTACCACTCGCCCTATATGGTGCGGGACGGCCGGACTACTTGGTAGGATATTGCCACTACTGCTAGGTTGATAGCGGACAGTGTGAGGGAGGTACGAGGCGCGGAGGATTTCCCCCACACCCTTCCGAGACTTCATGGAGACCTTGTGGACCCGGCTCATGACTCATAGTTTCTGCCACCCTAGACTAGACTTGGGTGTACCAGGGCTGAATGGTAGAGTGGCATTATCCTAGGCTAGCAAGCGGCCGGAATCAGCCCAGTTGACGACGGTCAACGAGGAAGGTGGATCTTGTGGTTATATAAAACCTCTGCAGAGTGTATGGTTGATCGATCGATACATATGCCGACTTATCGACTATGGACCTTTCCTGGGTTTCGCTTAAACTAGATAGTGAGATGAGTCCTTCTCTTCTTCCCTTGGAAGTGAGTGTTCGGACGTAGCCATGAGCTACGGGCCTTGAGACAGTGCCGAGAGGGAGTTGGCCTGTCGACTGAGCGATGGTATGGTTGTGATGTGGTGATGGTGTGGAGATGGTGGTAAATCGATCCTAGGATCGAAATCTGGCTCTGGACGGGAATGGGGTGGAATGGGTGTGTGAATGGTGTTAAAACTTGACCAACTGTTATTATATACATGATATGCTAATACATAGGAAACCCCAACTTTATATGTTCCTTTTGAATATATCCAACTTGCATCTAATTTCCACAAAGCAATGCTTATAGGGTGGGAGTGGCTAGTACAAATCGTACTGATAAATTTTGGCATACAGGTTCTGCTGAGGAGTATAGCTCCGAGGTGTTTGACGGTTGAGGGGTTCGTTTCTACGCTCAAGTTGGACGATCTTATCTTCAAGCTGTTCTGAATGAATGCTGCTTTTGATTCCGCCAAAGCGGCGATGTAATAATTTATGTAATTCCGCACTATTTGTACTCTGATATTATCGTTGTATGGATGTGATATTCGACTGGAATTTGGGTAATATAATCTACAACGGTCTTATTACACTTCGACTCTGTGGATTTTCCTTCGCGGAAATCAGATCGCTTCATTTAGCGTCACTATTCCAACTTTTTTTGTGTCATCCATGCCACTGACGTCAGTTTGGGTTCTAACACCGTCAAACTACAGGTGTGAAAAGTCAAAAATACTCTTAAGTCTAAATATGTCATTAATTTTTTTGAGCATCTTAATGACTTCAAATAAAAAAGCTCAAAACTAGAAAGTTGTAGATCTCGTCGAGATCTATAATTTTTATATAAAAATTATCTCCATTTAATTCCGCAAAAAAAATATGTTTACGGAATTAAATAGAGATAATTTTTATATGAAAATTATAGATCTCGACGAGATCTACAACTTTTTATAGTTTTGAGCTTTTTCATTTGAAGTCGTTAAGATGCTTAAAAAATTAATGACATATTTATACTTAAGGGTATTTTTGACTTTTCACACCTGTAGTTTGACGGTGTTAGAGCACAAACTGACGATAGTGGCGTGGAGGGCACAAAAAAATTAAAATAATGACGCTGAAGACCGCTGAACTTTTTCAGAGCCTCACAGGACATTACGATCTTTTTTTTAATGCAAGGAATTCCCCCTACAAACAACGAGGAGCCAAATAAAGCCGGCCCCAACTGAAAAGGTACACATACCCACTGTCTATCATCATCTCAAACTGAAATATCATCATTCGTCAACGACCGACCGAGCAGCCCCGGTTGACATTCGTGTGTAATCGATCATCTCCCGTTTCCATGCCGCCACAGACAGACAGGCCGCGAGAAGAGCGGATACATGCATTCTGATGATGAGCCAAACCTCGTCTGCCTGCTGACAGCTGGTATGCATGCATATATGGCCGTCGTTCACTTGCGCTTTGACCTTGTTTTTCTCTTCGGTCGATCAGCATGTCATATCTGCATCTACTTTCTGATCAACTCTCTTTGCCAATGATTTACGTCCTTTAATTTGTTGGTGGCCAATTCGATCCGGAGAAGTTGGCTCCGATCCAACCAACAGTTCAGATAATCAGATCTGTTGATTGATGATAATCAACTTGGTGAATTTGCTCAACTGTTTCGTTCGTTTGTTTCTTCCTTTCCTTCGTGATAGATAGCGTGGAAAGCAGTAGCGGAGGAACACGTACTGATCGAGGGGGTGAGTGCGTGCATGACACTAGATGACTAGCACCATCAGCGGCATCATGGAGGACGTCAGGATCGGGAGCTTCGACTTGGACGCCGTCGGCGCGTATCCGACGACGCTGCCCAGCCCGAGGATGGTCGCCGCGGACGAGACCTCCACCTCATCCATTCGCCGCGCCAGCCGTCGTCAGGGTTCAGCAAGAGCCTCAACCCGATCTACACCGACCACGACACCACCACCACCACGACGGCGACAACAGAAACGGATTCGTCACCATCAGCCGCCGCGGCAAGCCATGACGAAGGCGCGCACGCTGCGACGGCGTCAGCGGCACGGGACTGCCCGCCGCCGCCGCCGGCCCCGGCGCCTGTGCCCGCGCGGCGCCACACCGGCGGGGACGGGCGCTGGGAGGCCATCCGCGCGGCCGAGCCCCCGCTCAGCCTGGGCCACTTCCGCCTCCTCAGGTGCCTAGGCTACGGCGACATCGGCAGCGTCTACCTCGTCGAGCTCCGCGGTGGCCGCGGCGAGCTCTTCGCCATGAAGGTCATGGACAAAGGCTCCCTGGCCGGGCGGAACAAGCTGGCCCGCGCGGAGACGGAGCGCGAGATCCTCGGCCTGCTGGACCACCCCTTCCTGCCCACGCTCTACTCCCACTTCCAGACCGACAAGTTCTGCTGCCTCCTCATGGAGTACTGTTGCGGCGGCAACCTCCACTCGCTCCGCCAGAGGCAGCCCAGCAAGCGGTTAACCGAGGACGCCGCCAGGTTCTACGCGTGCGAGGTGCTGCTTGCGCTCGAGTACCTGCACATGCTGGGCGTGGTGTACCGGGACCTCAAGCCCGAGAACGTGCTCGTCAGGGAGGAAGGCCACATCATGCTCTCCGACTTCGACCTCTCCCTGCGCTGCTCCGTCAGCCCGGCGCTTGTCCGCTCCCCGTCCGGCCGTATCAGCGCCGGCGGCCTCGCCCACGGCTGCATGCTCCCGCGCATCCTCCCGGGCAAGAAGAAGAACAAGGGAGACAATAAGGCCAAGCTGGACGACGACGAGACGGTGACTAGCGTCGGCTGCAAGAAGCCGTCGTCGCTGGAGTTCACGGCCGAGCCGACGAGCGCGCGGTCCATGTCGTTCGTGGGCACGCACGAGTACCTGGCGCCGGAGATCATCCGCGGCGACGGCCACGGCAGCGCCGTCGACTGGTGGACCTTCGGCATCTTCCTCTACGAGCTCCTGCACGGCGCCACGCCCTTCAAGGGCTCCGGGAACCGCGCCACGCTCTTCAACGTCGTCGCGCAGCCGCTCAGGTTCCCCGACGCGCCGGCGGTCAGTGCGCCGCGGCCAGGGATCTCATCCGTGGACTGCTGGCGAAGGAGCCGCACAACCGGCTCGCGTCCCGGCGCGGCGCCGCGGAGGTGAAGCAGCACCCATTCTTCGAAGGCGTCAACTGGGCGCTCGTCAGGAGCGCCCAGCCGCCCTACATCCCCGACGCCGCCGTTGCTGATCACTGCTCCCAGTTCGCCTGCGACGGAGCGGCGCAGCAAGGTGGCACGCCCAAGAGCGCCGCACGGAAAACCGGATCGCGTCACACTGATTCTGATTCGTCGCATGTTGATTTTGAGTACTTTTAGGCTTTGATTTGATCACGAGATCTCCACTGATTTAATTTCTAAAATACAAATATTACAGATTCTCCTTTTTGTATTATGATGATCATGATGTATAGCTACAAGCACTCTTTAATTAAAATGAGAAATCTATTATCCACACGGCTCACAGCTTTCAATTAAGCTCTAAACCAAGAAAGAAGTACTAAGGTGACTCACTGGTTCTGCGACACCGAGTACCTGCAGACCCTGGCGTCCGTAAACACGAGCCCCGGCCTGCAGTAGTACCCCTGCCCGGGGCTGCAGTGCCTGTCCTCGGAGCACACGCACCGGCCGTCCAGCGCGCACCCGTCGCCCTTGTCTACCTCCACCGCGCCGACGACCTCGTCCGACCACGGGCTGTCGAACAAGCCCCGGGGGTCAAGCTGCCGCTTCGCCGCCGCAAATTGCGCCCACCGCGGGTACTTCCCCCGCACGCCGGCGAACGCCACCAGCCGGTTCTTGGCCCAGTGTGGCCTGGCGCCGTGCTTGACGAACGCCAGCTGCTCCACCTCCTCCCACACGTCCTCGCTCAGCCGCGGCGCCGCCGGGTCCGACGCGCGGTAGTAGTTGAAGTCCACCACGACGGAGTCCTCCGGCTGCCCCAGGTGCGCCGCCGACGCCTTCACGAACCGGACCAGGAGGCCGTTGTACACGTCCACGCCGCAGAGGCTGTCGGAGCCGGCGAGGTCCCGCAGGCGCTTCACGTCCAGGATGAAGTCCTGGAACCGCGCCGGCGGCGAGAAGATCGCCGTGCTCTCGTAGAAGAAGAGGCCGTGGAACCTGGGGTCCCACCCGCACGCGCTGAGCAGGTCCGCCGCGGACGACCGCGCGCAGGAGCCCGACGTCTGCATCTTCCCCTGGTACCCCACCACGGGGTACCCCGTGAACAGCAGGCCGTTGTTCTTCAGCCCGCTGCCGACCAGCCGCTTCGCCGTGCCCTCCGCTGCCGCCGTCACGCACTTGCCCCTCACGTTCTTGGACCGCTCCAGCGAGGTCTCGACCGCCCTGAGCCCCGCTGTGACGGCGATGGGCGTCGCCTGGAAGCCGATGAAGTCGTTGACGCCGTCCCCGGGCGCGTCCAGCGGCGCGCGGTTGTCGATGCGGTACACGGCCGTGTGCTGGGACGGGTACCAGGTGATGTCGGCGAACTCGTGGCTCGCCGCGTGGGCGGCGAAGTCGTCCTAGAAGGTGGAGTCGTTCCTGTAGTCGTAGGTGATGCTGCGCTTGAACCTCGGCTCCAGTGACAGCGTGATCTGCAATCCACCCAACCTCGGTTTCTTTCAGCACGAATTAACGATGCATTGAACAAGTTGGAACACAAAATCAATTTCACTTCACTACTAGTACCAGTGTAATAAAGAAAACAATCTGATTTGCAACGGTTAGAGTTTTCGGGCTGTGAATTGTGAATTGGTTGAACAAAGAGATGATGAAGCAGCAGCTGAACTTGACTGGCTCAATATAAATCTAGATGGTCACATTTAGAGAACTGGAAGGGTGTGCCAGCGACGCTTCCTTTGGGAAATTCAAAGTAGCCGATCATTTCAAAAACAGAACAATGGTACTACTTTGTAATTAACTTGCTTAGCCAGATGTTTTAGTCAGAGAAGCGATGCATCATATGATTCTTGTAGAAGAAAAAACGAAGGTACCTTCGAGTTTTTACAGGCCGTGACTAAGGAAGGCACTCAAGAACAATCACACGTTATTGTTAAAATAACAGATTAAATAAACACACTTCTCGAGGAAGAACATTTCCCTTTCCAAAGTGCAAATTGATGCTTCTCAGACTTCAGGCTTTCAGATAACAAAAACAACGCCAGCTCCAAAATACTAAAACCAAATGCCAGTCGATCGGGTGCGCGATGATACGCAGGTTGAGTAGATGCACACGAAATCTTAGCAATCAACTTCATTGTGTTGAGATAACTATAATAAACGCACTTCTCGAGGACGAACATTTCCCTTTCCAGAGTGCAAATTGCGTGAGGACTGACAAACAAACCACATCTAGATTGCGTGTGTGCAGTGGCGGATCTAGAAAATACATTTAGGGGGATGGGAACTCATCTTCAACTCGAAACTCATCTTCAACCTCCGTCGGGAGCACTCCACCACCTTCTTTTCTCTGTTGTTAATGCCTGAAAAATTCATGGGGGGCTAAGGGGGGGCTTCAATGGCGTGGCCAGGGTAGGGGGGCTTGAGCCCCGGCAGCCCCCTGACAGATCCGCCCCTGCGTGTGTGAACCCTTTCCCAAAAACAACTCATCAAGCAAACTGGGATCCTATTGGATTCACCATTCAGTAACTATAGGCTTGTTTGGCATAGCTCACAACAGCTTCATGAGCACATCTAGATTGCATGTGTGAACCCTTTCCCAAAAACAACTCATCAAGCAAACTGGGATCCTATTGGATTCACCGTTCAGTAACTATAGGCCTATTTGGCATAACTCACAATAGCTTCATGAGCTGTTGTAAGCTTTTTTTTTGCCAAACACTCATTTGCAAAATAGCTTTATGGGTGAACTGTTTTTCTCCTCCTCTCATAAAGATATAAGTTGGGATGAAGCTAAAAAAGTACCTTATCCCAACTTCATCTCCCATATTATAGTCATTCTATTTATTGTTCCATCATGTTAAATTGTTTTGCCAAACACTTGTTCCAAAACAACTCAGCTTCAACAAAAACGTTGCTCATAAAGCTATTTTGTAAAAAATCAACTTATATGGTGAAGCTGGGCTGTGCCAAACAGGGTCTAGGTGAGTAGGCTAGCTGGAGTCTAGGACATAGGGTCTGTTTCTGAAGCAAACTTGGGCCGCGTTTAGTTTGCCTCTGAATCGGCGCCGTTGGAATTTCCAGCACTATAGCTACACTGTAGCGTTTTGTTTTTATTTGGTAATAATTGTCCAATCATTGATTAATTAGGCTCAAAACGTTCGTCTCGTAAAATACAACCAAACTGTGCAATTAGTTTTTGATTTCGTCAACGTTTAGTACTCCATGTATGTACCGCAAGTTTGATGTGACGGGTAATCTTCTTTTTACGTAGTGTCAAAGTTGGAAGTTTTGATGGAACTAAACATGGCCTTGCTTAATCTCCATATGATATGGCCCTAGCAGCAAACTTGCTAGAGGCAATACTATAGCTAGTCTACTTACCGGTCACGGTAGGCAGAGGTGTTCTAATGTTGTATTCAGGTGGGTGTTATTCAGAAGACTCGACTAATTAGCAGGTGACGTTTATTATGACATGAAAATAAAAGTAACCTATGGAACTGTTTGGTTCACGATGGAGCAATAATATACTATTTAGTTAATTTATTAGCTTGACTATTTAACCAAAGAACCGAATATATCAATCTACGAGGTGCTTCAGGTAACATCTTTTATGTGTGCTATATACACCAACTAAGGCCATGTTTGCTTTACTGAAAAGCCATGGCTAAAAGTACTGTTCGCTGATTTATTATAAGAGAAAACACTGTTTATTTGCTGAAATAGTATGGCTCATAGGACAAAGCGAACCAGGCCTAAGTTGTAGTCCACACTCCACATCTTATAGCATTTGCCATGGTCTCAAAATACATCCTATATCTCCATCTCCAAAAAGAAAATAAAAATGCTTCGCCACAGCCAGTTAATGCATTATAGTTTAGACAGAATGTGGGGCTACTTGTGCTACGCATGAATTGATTAACATGTTGTTGTCAGCATCACTGCAATTTGCTTTAGAAAACCACGAAACGATTATCGACAAAAGCTCTTATACTAGTATGGACTCTTGAGGCATCTTGGGTCCCAATATGAATGAAGAAAACACAACATACAGACAGACAGATTCTGATGTTTTCCCACTAACCATTTGTGTGTTTGTTCGGCTGCTGAAAAAGCTACTGCTGCGGCAGCTTGTTTCCTCTCTCAAATCCCTGTAGTGGTAGCAGCAGCGACTTTTTTCTGCTGCCGAACAGTGTGTTGATCTTTAGTGATACTTCAGTAATTTGGAGACGGCACATATACTGGTATACTATTTGCAGATGGTTAGTTCAAACTATTAATTTGTTCTCTACATATAAGTCTATAAGTGCTTAATTAAAAAGGAAAGAAACGTAGATCTCTTAAAATCTTAAAGCAATCATTGAGTACCTTACTGGGTTTTCACCATCAAGCTATCTCGGCTACAGAATGGATTAATTAGTGAATGAAGATAATCATTGGAATTTATTTTGACAATAATAATCATTGGAATTTGATCATGAGAAAAGTTAGTATATATTTACCCCATTAGGCCTTGTTTGGTTTGATGAAGATTGGAGGGGATTGAAGGAGAATGAAGGAGATTTGATCTCCTACAAATTACCCTTAAGGCTCGTTCGTTTGGCAGTGAATCATTGCCTGGAATGAATCCTACCTGGTTTGCTTTGCAAAATTATATAAGCATTGATCAATTGGAATAATTCCTGCCCTTACCGAACTGTTCCCAAAGACAATTCAAGATGAGATTTCGGATCATGCTTGGCCATATAACAATTGAGTAAAGAGATGAAGCCGCCCCTGATGTCCTTATGGCACAAATATAATTTCAGAGTATCTTGTCCAGAGAACTGAAATAGTGTGGCACCGAGGGAAATACAAAGAATCCAATACAGAACAACAGTAGTAACATGCCTATGCACCATATGAGTTATGTCTTCCGTTATTCATGCTATAACAGCTCGCCAAAACGTTCTACAGTTCATTTGTACACCGCTACAATCTCCCATGATTGCTAGAAAATGTTTTTTTTTTCGCGAACGTGTCTACGACACGTGTTCCATTAAGACGGAGTAGAATAGTTTTACAAGAAGGATCGGTAATCAAAAAATTTACCGAATCCTTCTCCCAGCGCAACAACAATTAGAATTGTATTACATGAATAACATTTGTGAGAAAATATTAGCTCTTGAAAGTGTATTTGAAGCTGATCTTCATTCTACAAATAAGCTGTGGTACTGTGTGACTACTTTTTGTCTTTAGGTCCTGGCATAAATGAATGAACATGCCATAGTATTTTTCTCTCACACCAAATCAGCCAATAGTACTTTCAACCATGGCTTATCAGTCAAACAAGCCTAAACGAACATGACGAGAAACAGCCCTGGCGGCATGTTGTGCAGACTCCGGAGTCACCTGGATATGAACGGGATTAGCGCAGAAGACGCAGAGCCATTGTTCTCTTCTGGCATACATACAGTTTTTGGGAAGCTGGTCCCCAAGACCCCAATCCCCGTGGTCTCGGTTTCAACAAAGAACACTGTTATGCTTGTCTAGTCTCAACTTGTTTCAGCTTGTTTTAGCTTATTCTCTTTCACGGAACACTATTGAATCAGCCGAAATCAGCCGAAATAAGCCACAAACTGGATCAGCCGAACACCTATCCCCTGATGGATGTTAATGACGCTGTGACTTTGGAAATTTTGGAATTTGTAAGTTCTGCAAATTTAATACTACGCAGAAAAAGAAGGATAACAAATTTCTTTATTTCGTCAAGATGGTTAGATAACAAGTTTATTGGCATCTCCCTTTAATAAGAAGAGAAAAAGAGCAGAGAGGCCTATTTTGCTATCTCAAACCAAACTAGTCGTCAGAAATCTACTCCATTTATCAGTAAGTATAGGTGGATTAAGACTCTGGCATAGCAGTAGTCACAAGGTTTTGAATCTCCAGCAATAGCTGTTTGAGAGGCATTTAGCTATTTTTTTTCATGTAAAATTTAGCTGTTAGCTGCCACTATAGTCGGCTATTTGATGTTTTTGGAGAAAGTCTGTTAAATGCTTTAGCCCGCTATTTAAAACACTGCATAGTCATCAAATGATATTATGGCAACTAATGTCGCATAGGAACAGGATATCCTGTTTCAAACAAACATCATCGAGCTCCTCCGGTCTCCAATGTGTAGCTTTGACCATTATTTTTCACTAGAATATATTAACAAAATCTAGTGAAATTATGGGGCAACCAACCTTTTTATAGGGCAATTTTAGTTTTTTCAGTTTTCATACCAAAAGTTTTTAAAAGTTATTGGTAATTAATTTTTCACAATGTTGACCATATCTCGTAAAAACGTCAACTATTTGTTTACTAAAGGGAGAAGTATAGATCAATCAACCAAACCACACATGACCAATTTTTTAGAACAAACAATTAAGAATTACTGTCTCTTGTCACAAATATAAGTTCATATAAGTTTATTCTAAAATAAACTTAAAAACTTAACTAAAAATATATGAAAAGTTATATATCGGGAAAATATTTTTTCATAATGAATACAATAATATCAATCTTCACGGTCTTCTCTTGACCTTCTTTTTGCTTGGTTCATTTTGTTTTGCATCTTATTTCATACCGTTTTGATCATTTCCTTTATAAGTAAATCATGAATGCCTTAGCTCAGAGCTCAACTATAACTTAAAAATATTTGTTGTAAAAAAAAACTTAAAAATATGAAAAGAAGAATTTAACCATTTTATATAATTTTTTTGAAACAAACATGTACCTTTTTTTTTTTGGGAATGAAACGAGACATGATTTTGAACCATTACGATATGGAGGATGATACGTTTGATCACTAACCTTGGAGATGACCCCAAGCAGGCCGAGGGAGACGAGCGCAGCTGGGAAGAGCTCGTCGCCTGTGCGCAGCGTGAGGACCCTGGCCCAGCCGTCAGCCTCCCCGGCGGCCACGACGAGCCTGAGGCCCACAACGTGGTCGTGCACGGCACCGCCGCGGCCCCACCACGAGCTGCCGTGGGACCCCGTGCTGACGAGCCCCGCGACGCTGACGCCCTCCCAGTAGGGCGCCGCCGTGAGGCTGAGCCCGCGCGCCTCGGCCGCGTTGATGACGGCCCGCAGCGGCGCGCCGGCGTCCGCGGTCACCGTCCGCGCCGCCACGTCCACCTCCACGCCCGCCAGCCTCGCCGTGCTGATGAGCAGCGTGGGCGTGGTGGCAGTGCCGTTCCCGCCGCCACCGGGGCAGGCGAGCTTCGGGATGGTGTGCGCGAAGCCGCTGACGACCTTGACGCGGGCGCCCGTGGCGCTGGCGCGCGCCACGGCCGCGACCACCTCCTGCTCGGACGCCGGGTACGCGACGGCGGACACGGGGCAGTCGGCGCGGTCGCTGGACCACGCGCCGTAGGCGTTGGAGAGCACACAGCCGCCGGTGGTCCCGCCATCGGTCCCGCCATCGGCGCCGGGGCGTGGGAGGACAGCAGGAGGAGGAGAAAGGTGGCGAGCATTTTTTTTCCTCTGGTTTTTTTATGCGAGGGCGCTGGTGCGTGCGCCTTTGCTTGTGGAGCGTTGATGTGTTTCTTGGACTTGGAGGCTCTCTCTGCCTTTTGCTCTGCTACTAGGTGCTGCTCTGTCTGCCAAGACACGCTTGCATTGGTTGCCTTTAAAGAATGCGCGATCGGCGGAGGGCTGTCTAGTTCAAACGTAGAAATTTCATCACAGCCTCGATTGATCCGCGGATGGCAATAGAAGATTGCCTGCCAGTTGTGAATTTGGACAATCAATTGCTAATATTAAATAATATGTATGAACCTTCAAATCAAAAGAAACAGCTGATGAGCTGAAGAGGTAGTAAATCAAAAGAGACGGCTAAAGGGATTTAGGGACCTCCTTAAAACTCTGGTTAGGGAGTCCCAATATCTACGTCCACGCTGGCATGCTGCCTCAGCTTTTACGCCCGCGTTCAATGTCCATCAGTGGAGGACGAAGTAAAAATAAGATATTGCAAGATAGATAAACATTGGTAACAAAGAAAAATTCAAATTAAAGTAGTTTATAGATATGCAAATGCAGTGATCACCAACTCATCAAAATGTACAAGAACACAAATTGCAAATGTATTTTATGCCAAAATTGTCTTGTATAAAATTGCAGTATGTACATTTGGCTTTGGCTTTGGCATTGCCCTTGTCCTCCTTTAAATCCATATTTATTTAGTCACGCTTCCTAGAGTGTAGGCGCCTGAAAACGCAGAACCAAAGGCACCTGATAACTGAAGGAAACAAACGAAGGAAGAAGAAGAAGCTCCAAAGCCATTTGATTTAAGATCTAATGAGTGAGATCATTACCTGATTAGATACAAAATTTTAGGCACTTGACATATGGCAGGACCCTTATTTAATTCCATGGTTCATAAATTGACCAAGCAATTAAAGGGTCTGTTTGGTTTCTACAGGATCTCCTAAAATTCCTGTCACATTGAATGTTTAGACACATTAAATATAGACTAATTATAAAACTAATTACACAACTTGTGACTAATTTACGAGACAAATCTTTTAAGTCTAATTAGTCCATGATTTGACAATGTGGTGCTACAGTAAACATGTGCTAATGACGGATTAATTAGGCTTAAAAATTCGTCCCGTAAATTAACCTCAATCTATATAATTGGTTTTGTAATTAATCTATATTTAATGCTCCTTATTAGTATCTAAACATTCGATGTGGCATAAAATTTATGAGCGACTAAACCCAAACCCCCCCCCTCAACAAAGAACAAATGATCGGACCTTCGGCAGTTTGGGCACTTGGCTTTACCTGATTGACGTGATCGTGGCAGCTTGGCACCGCGGCACCCGATACGGCAGACCGAGCGAAGAACTGGCATGCTTGCGTCTGCATCAGATCTAGCCATGAGCTAGGGCATCACCGCGTTGGTAGATCAGCAATTGCAGCACGAGCGCCGCAGCTTGTAGTATCGGGGAGGGTCGACGAAAAGACGGAATCACGACACGGGAGATAGAAAATATCAGCAGGTAGCCAGGTATAGACGCATACCACTTGCAGCAAATTTTATCTCTATCACCCCGTTTGCTTCGCTGAAAAAATAAGTCGAAACACTGTTCCGACTGAATTATTGTGAAAGAAAAATACTGTTTCGACTGAAAAAACAAGCTGAAATGTACGGATTATAAGACAAGCGAATATGGCTTATATGAAAGTGTCTCAGTCCAGATGATTAATAAAGACAAGACTGCTGCTATGTTTAGTAAAAATACCCCAGCACATGTGAAGGAGCAAATAATGGCAATACTCGGGCTCAACCAGGAGACACGAAATGACAAATATTTAGGGTTACCAGTTCATATCGGAAAATCAAAGAAATCAGCATTTGCATATATCAAACAAAGAGTATGGGCTCGGATCCAAGGATGGCAGGAGAAGTTACTCTCCAAGGCAGGGAAGGAGATCCTTATCAAAGCGGTAGCGCAAAGCCATTCCTACCTTTGCTATGTCATGTTTTGACCTAACAAAGAGCCTCTGTGATGAACTTAGTTCAATGATTGCAAGATATTGGTGGAGCTAGCAAGATAAATCTAATAAAATCCATTGGATTGGGTGGCAGAAACTGACAAGATCTAAGTCATTAGGGGGTTAGGCTTCGGAGACCTTCATGCATTTAATATGGTTATGTTGGCTAGGCAAGGGTGGCGCATTTGGACACAACCTGATACACTATGAAATTGGTGAAAGCTAGAATGGTATGGAGGATTGGGAATGGTAATAATGTTAATATCTGGGATGATCCATGGTTGCCTAGGGGAATAACTAGGAGAGTAATTACACCTAGGAATGGCTCCATCCTACAAAAAGTGGCAGATCTAATTAATCCAATTACTGAAACCTAGGATGTACAATTGATTAATGATATTTTCCTTCAGGAAGATGCAGAGACTATCTTAACTATTCCATTGTATGAAGGCATGGAGGATTTGGTAGCATGGCACCCTGATCCGAAAGGTAAAAGAGTGCCTATGCTCTGGCCATTAAATATCGTGATTCCCTCAATCAATCTGATGCCTCCACCTCAGCCAGTCAACAAGGTAACCGAAGAAAATATGGGGTCTAACTGTGCCCAATATAATCAAAGATGTTTATGTGGAGATTGGCCCAAGCAAGTATAGCAATAGAAGGAATTAAATTGGATACGTTATGCCCGATGTGTGGGCGTTTGGATGAAGATTCTGGTCATCTATTTTTAAAATGCAAATCTGTTAAACAGGTGTGGAGAGGGCTTAATTTAGATGAGGTCAGTGTCTCCCTCGCCAGTCGAAGATCAGCCCAAGATGTGATGGAATCAATATTCGCTCTCAATGATGAAAGCATGCTGAAAGTGGTTGTCTTATTATGATGTTGGTGGTCAGCACGTAACAAAGTTAATCAGGGTGAAAGGAGGGCCTCCACTGACGAAATTTGTTGTTCTATAACTTATCATCTTAATGAAATGCAGAAACTCAAGCCACCAGCAAAGTGTAGGACAATTGTACAGAAAGAGAAATGGAAGACGCCACCGGAGGGAGTTTATAAAATAAACTGTGATGGTGCCTTTTTCCAAAATGATAGAAGAGGTAGTTGGGGTTGTATTATTCGGAATCACCAAGGTGTTTTCATAGCAGCTGCTGCAGGTTCATTGCAAAATCTGTGAAGTGCTCTCCATGCTGAAGCAGTTGCATGTCTGAAAGGCCTGGAACTAGCAGCTTATCTTGGACTGAATGAGGTGACTGTTGAAACTGATGCACAGAATCTAGAAAGGGCGCTAAAATCGAATGATTTTGATCGAGCTGAGTTAGGAGTCATCTTCAGAGAGATCAAGACTAAAATGGCTTTTGATTTTAATTGTTGTAATATTTCTAAATGCCATAGGTCTTGTAAATCTTGTAGCCGATTGTATTGCTGCTTATGGCATATCAATAGGTGCTGATGATTCTGGTTTATGGCTAGATCATCCACCAGAATTTATATAGACCCTTGTGTCAGGCGATATGCCTGATGGTCAGTGTTAAATGGAACTGCGTTTCTGTTTCGAAAAAAATAGACGTATAGTCAGTCTCTCGGCCCATGTGCGGTTGCTGCCAGCCCAACCAAGTATCAGAGAGTATCATCCATATGTCAGCTTGACAAAAGGTACAAGTCACCATTCAAGTACGTTGGGCGCAAAAGGAAGACCTAGCCCGAGAGAGGTGAGATAGATACAATGATAAAAACGAATTTTGTGTTGAGAGAAAGAGAGAAAATGGTGGGACTCAAATAAATTGATAGATGTGTTGCCTTTTATTGTGGGTGAGACAGCTGCTGCTGCTGCTGCCGCCGCCGCCGCTGAGCACCAAAACAGTATTTCCAAATTTCCAATATATGCTTGATGAAAAAAAACGAGAAACATGGTGGTGGGTGCATGTGGTTTCTAAGGGACGTATGACACAACACTATCAGCCTATTCGCTTATTGGTTTCAGCCAGGGCTTATCAGCCAGCCAACAATGTTTTCCTCTCACAACAAACCAGCACCATCCAGGCTTATCAACCCAGAAATCAACCAGCGAACATGCTCTATGACGTGATCAACATATCTTTTGGTGAAAAAAATGGATTGGTTCTACTATACCTCGAGTTGAGGTAGATCCATTTGTAAGGAAATTTTAAACTCTCTTAGCACTTTGACACCTAATTTCTTCTAAGAAAGCAATCTAAGAAATCCTTAGGGCTATCACACCTAATTAAGTCCTTAGCAAAAAATGGCACTAAGGTATAGGTCCTTACGAGCAAGAATTGAACCTAAGCTAAGCACTCTACCATGCAATCCTAATTGTCACTCAAAGAAACTTGCACACAAACAAACTCAAGCAATTTTTTTTTGTAAAAGTAAAAGAGAGGTAAAGAGACAACTGAATTCACGTGGTATCCGGCGTTCTCACCCCCTAATCCATATTGGAGCACCAAAGAGTCATCAAGACATTTGGTTCCGCTTCAGTCTTGAGTACCCCTTCTCTATTTGAAATGGTAGGTTTTAAACTATGGATACTGATCGGAGCCTCCTCAACAAGAACTCCATATACATCGACAAAGGTCACCAAACTTTAAATAAAAAAATGTTCAATTCTAAAACTTTTTAAGACAATATTATTTTACCTGTCTTCACTAGTCCACAATAGCGAATCTAGCTGAGAACATGAGTCATCATGGTCATTTTCATTGTATGTTATAAATTTTCTTGAACTTTAACAGTGTTTTGCTAAAGGATTTATAAATTTTACTACTGCTACTCCGTACTCATTCGCTTTTACTATGAATAACATCATCTCTTTTTTTTGAGAAAAAAATTATAAACGGTGGAAGGAAGCATATACTGGTGGTAAATAAAATGGAAAAGGCGAAAAAGAAGATGAATTTTCTCCCGCTTTTCCGAGGACCAAGATTGCGCGCCGGCGGGCGACGTGGCTTCCCTTGCAGCGGTACACTCACCCGAGCCAGGTAGCTTGGTGGCCGCTATCCGCCGGGGCTCCACCGCCACTCCCGCCCGCCTTACAAAACCCCCCAACCCCACATCCGCAGCCACCCGCCGCGGCACCCCCTCCACCACCGGCCACCGTGCAGATGCAGACCCTCACCCTACGCGCCGGCCTCTCCGCCCGCCGCTCCACGCCGCCGCCGGCCAGCTCCGCGCACCTCGCCGCCTCCGGAAGGTGCCTGCTGCGTGCCCCCAGCTCGCTCCGACGCCGGAGAACCCGCTCTCTCAGGGCCTCTGCCTCTCTCGAGCAGGTCAAGGAAGTCGCCGGCTCCCCGGCTCCCTCCGGTAAACCAACTCCTGCTTCCTCTCTCCCTATAATTTATCAATTCCACGAACGGTGTTGTTCGTTTTTTTTGCTTGATCAGTGAACGGCATCGAGGTTAGATTAGCGCCGTCATGAGTTGATCACTGTTTTACTTTCGGATTAGTAATTTAACATAGTGAGCTCCTGAGTCCATTTCAGTGGACTTCTAATGTGTTCTTTTGCGTAACTCGATAGCTCTTTCTGTCAGGCTCCACGGTTTTCTGTTCATGGAACGTTTGAGCAACCTATTGCTTTTTTTTTGAGGAATTGAGCAACCTATTGCTAAAAGCCTACAACTATGTTTTCCTGTTTCTGTAATTAGATGAACAAGTCACACAAGGATGCATTTCTCTCCATTGCAGCAATCACGGGTTCAAGAAAAGCTGATAGCTACCAAAGCCTTAATTAATGCATGATTGAGCAGTTAGTCCTTGGCACTTAATGAAACTTGATGATAGATCGTCATATTATCGGCTACACCATCGGGTTTTATCAAAGTAGTGCCGTAGTGGTCCATATCGAATTTTCCTAGAAGCATTGAGTGACCGCTTATTGTCCCAAAATTTCCTTCAAGCCATCTTGTTGTCTATCTGCGTCGGCCGGCTTTCCTTCTTTTCTGTTGAAACAATGCCAATTTAATGTACATTCGTCACTGGATTATTCAGCAGGGAAGAGTAGTCAAGCAACTAGAAGAGATGTGAGGAATATAGCAATTGTTGCTCATGTTGATCATGGGAAGACAACTTTGGTGGATTCAATGTTAAGGCAAGCCAAGGTACATTCTAGTATGCATTTGTTACCTTTGTGATCATGTTTATCAGAGATTTATTGCAAAGTGAATCTCTCCACCATTCAATCTATATGCTCACAGATATATCATGTTCAAGACTATTACCACCTTTAACTGTTGCTCCATATCTTTGTTGTAGCATGTTAATTGCCAATTATACAGAGTGATGGTGCTCCTATACTGACTGAACATCTGAATTTGTATTGGCTGGATTGTTTTTACTTGTTTTGCATGGATAGTCAACTATTATTTGTTTCCGTTGTTCGGTTAGTTAGTTTAACAGAACTGCTTTAAATGGTCTAATACAAACATGTTACGTTAGCATCCGGTATGTATTGTTTTCTCATGTCAAGGGCGTCGAACCCTCGACGCGCAGGGCCTCGGCTACGAAGCTCGTAGCCCTCGGCCGTCTTCTCCGGTGAGGTTATGCCCCTCTACCGCAGGCTTGAGATTAGATGGAAGATAGGATAATAATCTTGCTTAATTCCTTCAAGTCCGGTTCCCATACATATATAGCCTTGCGGCTGCCACAAAAGGAAAACAAACTCCTAATCTTAAGGTAACAAATAGATGCTAATAATAAGGGAACTAATCTCGATAACTTTCAACTAAGGCCTCCTAGCCATGACTGGCCGATCGGTTACAAAGAAGCGCTTCAGGCTGGACGCCTTGCTATTGGGCCGCCCACAGATATGTCATGGCTAGCAAGGCCGCATACACCTGCCCACATGACATCTCTCCCTCCTCAAGTCCGGCTCGTCCTCGAAATAAACGAAGGAAACCGAAAAGGAAATCGTCGAGGTCTTCCCAGAGAGGTGCGCAGCTGGGTCGTGACCCTCCCATTCGACGAGGACTTGGCGAACTCCACGAGCCAGCGGCCCTGTGTCACCCGCGAAGGCGCAGCACGACGCAAGCACCGTTGAGAGGGCGCGCAACGCCATGCGGAACCGGTGGTGACCCCACAAACTTCTTGAGGACGCCCACATGGAACACATCGTGGAGACGGGCATCCGGGGTAGCTCCAGCGCACGGCCGCCTCATTGATGACCTCGGTGACCTTATACGGACCAACGGCGCGCGGCCAGCTTGCCACGCACCGCACGGGCATGGACGCAGCAGCAGCGGCCGCCGGAGACGCGCAGCAGCAGCCTTGCCCCCGATCGTGGAAGATGACGCGACGATGATGCCGATCGAGACGACGCGTTTCGACCGCCGAGCTCGCTTCCGACGGACACGAATGTCGTCCCAGAAGGCGGCCTCTCCTCCATCTCTCGAAGCGACGGCCATGACCCGAAGCCCGCCGCCAGAGGGACCGAATGGTCGGCGGGTCCCTGCCGTAAACCACACGGAACGGGGTCTCACGCAGGGACGACTGAAAGGCGGTGTTGTAGGTGTACTCCGCCCACGGCAGCCACCGGATCCACTGACGGGGGCGGTCGCCGGTGAAACATCGCAGGTACATGACGATGACCCGATTGGCGGCCTCGCGTCCCGCCGTCCGTCTCGTGGGTGGAAGGTCGAGGACATGTAGAGCTTTGTCCCGGTGAGCCGCATGAGCTCCCCGCGCGTAACGCCGATGTGAAGACGGGTCGCGGTCCGACGTGATGACTGCGGAACCCCGTGGAGGCGGACGATGTCGGCGAAGAAGAAGGCGTTGGCGACGACTTCGGCAGGTGTAGGATGTGCCAAAGGAATAAAATGGCGACTTGGTCAAGCGATCCACCACGGAGAGGATGACCGTCTTGCCTCGACCTTGGGGAGCGCTCGATGAAGTCGATGCCAAGGTCGGCCTGCATCGCCGATGGCACCGGGAGCGGCTGCAGAGGGCCGCCGGTCAAGGTGGTCACCTTGTCTATGGCGGCGGTGACGCAGCCTTGACGAACTCCCCGCACCAAAGCACGCATGTTGGGAAAATGAAAGTCGCGTCGAGCCGATGGAGGTGCGGTGGATCCCTCGTGACCGTCATTGTGGACGGGCGCCACAATCTCCTCGCGCAAAGAATGGCGACGCGCGGCGGGATGTACAGCGGCCGGCGCAGTGCGACCATGCCATCCACTAGCGCCCACGGCGCAGAAACGGCACCGACCGCGCATTTGTCGTGCATGGCGACCAAAGCCGGATCCGTGGCTCGGGCGTGGACGGGAGGCGGTTGACGGTCAAACGAGGCGCGGAGATGGCCAACAGCGACCGTCCTCCCGATCTCGCCGCGAGAGCGCGTCGGCGGCGACGACGTCAGGGCGCCGGACGGTACTCCACCGAAAAATCAAACCCGAGGAGCTTGCCACCCAATGATGTGTGGGATCGGAGCGAGGCGCCGGTCGAGGAGGTACTTGAGGTCAGAGTGATCGGTCTTGACTATGAAGCGGCGCCCCAAAGGTACGGTTGATCTGCGGACCGCTCGACCAGCCCGATCGATTCAAGGCCAGACGTCTGGCGAAGCGAGAGTGGCGGGCGCCACCGGCCGGCCAAGAAACGCGACGGGTGACCCTCCCGACCAAAGACGGGCGAACCCGGACGCCGAGGCGCCGCGACTCGGACGATGAAGAGCTTGTCGAAGTCGGGCATGGCGAAGCACGGCGCCGTCGTCCACAATGCCTTGAGAGCCGCGAACGCCGCAGCAGCATGGAGGCGCCCCACGAGAATCCTCCTTCTTGAGCGAGCAAGTTCGTTCGCGGTGCCGCAATCGTCCCATAATTGTGGACGAACTTGCGGTAGTATCCGGCGAGGCCGAGGAAGCCGCGCACCGCCCGGGGGGAGCGAGGAGCGGGCCAGTCGACGATCGCCTGGACCTTCGCCGGGTCCATGGCCACCCCAGCCGCCGAGATGATGTGGCCTAGGTAGGCAACGCTGGGCGCCCCGAAGGAGCACTTGGACCGCTTGACGAACAACTGGTGGCGGCGGAGTGTATCGAGGACGGTCCGGAGGTGTCGCAGATGGTCCGCCCACGTCGTGCTGTAGATCAAAATATCGTCAAAAAATACCAGAACGAAGCGGCGGAGGAACGGCCGGAGCACATCATTCATCAGGGCTTGAAAGGTCGCCGGGGCGTTGCACAGGCCGAACGCCATGACCAGAACTCGTACAAGCCGTCATGGGTGCGGGAACGCCGCCTTGTGGATGTCTCTCGGCGCATGCGGACTTGGTGATAGCCCGAGCGCAGAGTCGGCTTTTGGTGAAGAATCGAGCCCGTGGAGCTCGCCGAGGAGCTCGTCGACCACTGTGGATGGGAAAAGCATCCTTGATCGGTCCGCTGCTTCAATGCCTCGTAGTCGACGCAGTAAACGCCACGACCCGTCCGGTTTCTTGACGAGGAGGACGGGCGATTTAAACGGGAGTCGCCCGGCGGACGATGCCCTCGCTTCCATCATGGTGGCGCATCGGGCGTCCGGTTCATCTCAGGGCCGCCGGCACCAGAAGGTCGGACGGCCACCGCGTGCAAGGTCCTGCTTGAGCATGATGCGATGGTCGTGGCGCGCGCAGCGCAGGAAGCGGAGCCGGTCGGTCGGGCGAAGAACCCCAGTATGCGCGAAAGCAAAGAAGGCCTCGAGGAGGGAGTCGGTGTCGAGTGTCGCGGCGCAGCGTCGAGACGACGCGGGCGACGCGGTCCAGAGAGAAGGTGCGGCCATGGCGGCTGCCAAACGTCAGCGCCTGGCGGCCGAGGTCCTGACGACGGCCCCGAAGCGCCGCCGAGCCAGGTGCCGAGGACGATGTCGTCGACCGCCAACGGCATGACGAAGAGGGTCGGCCGAACGACTTCATCGCCGACGAAAGCGGCGCTGGGCGCGAGGACGCCGCAAGACGCTGCGCGCTTCCCCACATGGCCAGCCGTAAGGGGGCGCGCTGTGGAGAAAGCAGCCGGAGCGCCTCGGCTGCGTCTTCCGCGATATAGTTGTGCGTCTTTGCCCGAATCGAGGAGAGCCACGAGCCTCGGGGCCCCAGCCGATCGCGACCGTGATGGTGCCGCCATCTAAGACACCCGGCAGCGCCTACCGAGGAGAAACAGGCGCCTCGGTGTTGTCCACGACGGCGGCGCCCTCGCCTCGGCCTCGATTCGACCCTTCGACGTAAGAAGATGCGCTGCAGAAGCGGTTATGGCCCCGGGTGTACCTCTCATTGCGGTTGAAGCACAAACCGAGGCGGCGGCTGCGTTCGCCATCTCCTCCTGCAGAAAGACGGCGCTGGAGCCTAGTTAGGTGGTCGGCCTTTACGAAGCAATGAGCGCGGCAGAAAGGGCCGATGAAGGGGCGCCCGGCGGCAGACAGCTTCTCGCCGCGCGGCGGTGGAGGCGGTGGTGGCTCACAAGGCCACCGCCTCCCGGAGGAGGAAGCGCCGGGCGGTCGGCTCCATCAACTCGACCAAGCGGGCGAGGCCGATAAGCGGCGACGAGGGTGTCCGGATGGTGGATGCGACGGCGTTGCAGCCGAGCGGAGGTCCCAGCCGCCGGTGAAGAGTTGGACTCGGCTGCGCTCGCCGAGAAGCCCCCGCGAGGGATCGTGGCTCGGAACCGGTTGGCATACTCTTCCACGGGCCAGGAGGCGCAAGATCGCGCCAACTCGAACATAGGGGCCGAGCGCAGGGGGGGACCGAAGCGCAGGTCCAGGAGATCCTTGAAATTCCCCCATGACGGCGTGCCTTCGTCCTCCTGCAGCTGGATGAACCACAGCTGTGCGGCGTCGTCCAAGTGGTAGGCCGCCATGCGCACGCGCTCCTCCGGCATGGTGAGATGTTGCCGGAAGTACGCCTCGCACTTGTGGAGGAACGGCATGGGGTCGGACGTGCCATCATAGTGGGGAAAATCCCACTTCCTGTGCTTCGGATGGAACTCGAGAGCGCGCTGATTGTCGGCGCGACGGGTGTCGGAGCTCTCAGCCGTGGGCGCCTTCTCCTTGAGCGAGGCGACATCGGCCTCCAGGGTGGAGATCTTGGCGGACACCTTCTTCATCTCGTTGAAGAGATCGGTCAGTGTAGGCTCAGCCATGGGCAGCGACTGACTGGGTGCGGTGGCCGGGTTGGGGATGGGCGGCGGCTGGGATGGGGCTGGCGCGGCGGACGGTGAACGCGAAGAGGATGAGCGTCGTCACCACCGACCATTGAAGTTGTCAAGGGCGTCGAACCTCGATACAGCAGGCCTCGCCACACGAAGCTCGTAGCCCTCGGCCGCCTTCTCCCGGTGAGGTTATGCCCTCACCGCAGCTTGAGATTAGATGGAAGATAGGATAATAATCTTGCTTAATTCCTTCAAGTCCGGTTCCCATACATATATATATATGCGGCTGCCACAAAAGGAAAACAAACTCCTAATCTTAAGGTAACAAATAGATGCTAATAATAAGGAACTAATCTCGATAACTTTCAACTAAGGCCTCCTAGCCATGACCTGGCTGATCGGCCCTGAAAGCGCGCTTCATACCGGGCGCTACTGGCCGTCCTACAGATGTCAAGCAAGCGCTTCAAGCTGCCAAGGCATGGCATACACCTGCCCACACATGACATCTCATCATCTGGTTGCTCAATCATTTGACTTTTATGAGAATTGAGTCTGAGAAAAAGATTGTGTTGGAAACCTAAGTTGATCTCCCTTCAAACAGTATTTTTGACATTTAATATGTATACACACTTCTAGAAGCAGTCCCATAATTGGCAGTCATATAAGTACATAAAAACTAATTGATGGAACTTCAATTTTACTTCCCTGATTACAATTTTTGGGAATTAAGACGGTTTTTACTTGTGGATGCATGATACCAGAACTTTATCTCTTACTGAATACTTTTATTGAACCTAAAATATAGCAGGGGAGGCCCCCACTGTAAAGTTTTATTTAAAATTAATCGAAGCCCAACAACTGATCGAAAAACAACAAGGAGAAAAAACTGTACAAGAGCAGAAGCGAAGAAGGGGGGTCCGAGGTGGACCAGAGAAAAAACGACAACCCCACAACCGAAAATGGGAGAGAGCCAACAACATTAGACTAGGCTTGCTAAAAGGGATAAGAAAATCGATCTTTTAGAGTCACAGAGTCTAAGAGCATGTAAATTAGCTTCATATCTCTTACTGAATACTGGCTTAAACAACCCTGTAAAATCTAGATGATTGTGGTGGGTGTGCTCTACTTGTTGAGACCTACAAATGGTCAAGAAACTACTTCCATCCATCCCACAAGAAGCCTATTGCTTAGTTTTATTCGCTCAGTTTGGTTGGTTTCATTGAACTATCTGGATTGTTTATTAAGTAAAATAGTGTCTCTTTATTCAGTCTGGGGCATTACCTCTACAAGACCAGTAGACTACAAAAGTACAAATCAGTGTTAAATTAAAACATATTAAAGGAGTTTATAACAACGGAGACGAGATAAATTATAAACCATTTGTTGAACTTGCTTTAATCGGATCACCATTCTCTCACCATGTTGTAGCAAAAATCAGTATTGCATTTACTGTGAAATGATCTCCTTGTTGGATTAAGCTAATTGCTTAACTTATGCAGGTTTTCCGAGATAATCAATTTGTGCAGGAAAGAATAATGGACTCCAATGACCTAGAACGGGAAAGAGGAATCACGATTCTGAGCAAGAATACATCAATAACCTATAAGGGCACTAAAATCAATATAATTGATACTCCTGGGCATTCAGATTTTGGCGGGGAGGTTGAGCGTGTTCTCAACATGGTGGAAGGAGTTCTGCTAGTGGTACTAGCTACTTGACTTTGTTTTATTTCCCAAACAGTGACTTTTTTCTCCTTTCATGTTTTGGTTATTTTTGGACTTGACACATTTTTAGGATTCTTATGTGCTTTACTGCAGTTAGTTGTCCCATACATAGTCATGGGATGCTACCAATTTTTGACGTGCCTTTTGTATATATTCAATCAAACCCTTTTTCGCTGCATGGTACCAAGCCCCTATCAAACTGGTTTTCTGAATAGTGTATTAATCTACATTGAGGAAGCACGTGTACATCCTCCTTTTTTTAAGAAAAAAACATTAGGTAGACCACTAATGTGGTATATATTGTATATAACCTCTACTTAATTGAAGCTTATCTGCTATATAGGTTGATTCTGTAGAGGGGCCTATGCCACAGACAAGGTTTGTTCTGAAGAAAGCTCTAGAATTTGGACATGCTGTTGTTGTAGTTGTAAACAAGATCGACAGACCTACTGCTCGTCCTGAGTTTGTGGTGAATTCAACATTTGAACTATTTATTGAATTAAATGCAACTGATGAACAGGTAAATAATTATGGCTATCCTATTGTTCATATAATTTGTTTTCAGTTTATCAACACGCGTCTTGTCCTAATCAACATGTTCATGTTTTATTTCAACATGCCAGTGTGATTTCCAAACAGTCTATGCAAGTGGAATTAAAGGAAAGGCTGGTCTATCTCCAGATAATTTAGCTGATGACCTAGGACCCCTTTTTGAGGCAATTCTTAGATGCATACCAGAGCCACGCATTGAGAAAGATGGTGCCCTGCAAATGCTTGTGAGTTACTGAGTTACAAATTTTATTCTTTTCATTCTTTATTTCTGGTGCATCATTTTCTGTTTCTGATTTGCATGGTTGGTGCTTGAATATTGTTCACAGTCCACACATTTCATTTTCATGGATGCAGTGTATGTGTATGAGTCGTGGTATTAGCAGCTTCTCTAAAAATGCTTCCGTTACTAGCAACTATCGATTTTGTTTCATGAATTGTGCCTCCTAAACTGTAGAACAATAGTTTCTTTTCTGTTTTGTTTGTTAATGTACCGTCATCTGTGGTCAAACTTTACATGCTTAACCAATTATACGAATCAAATATGAGCAACAGTGTTATCCTAAAATGCTAAAAGCCATGTCTTGGAAAATTAATTTATAGGTGTTTCTTGTTGATGACTGATATCTGGCATTCACTAAAAGTGAAAACTTTATTGAAAATTAATTACTTCCGACATTCACAATCAAGAAATAGTTGTATTATTATTATTTTTATTACTCTTGGATTTCTAAGTCTCCAATCTCGATTCATGTTCACAGCTGATCTCTCCCAAACTAGTGTCACATGGACACTCACTCATTTCTACTAAAAGGGTGCCATTGCTAATTTGAGCACGAAACTCACCAAACACATAATATGAATACCTTATCTATTTTGTTGCTTCTTCCAGGCTTCATGCTTATAAAGCTCCAATTGTTTTATCATGAAATTTTTTCTGTTGAGACGGCTTTCTGGCTTCTCAACATGTTTTGGTGTTCACAGCCTATATCTGCACTTATCTTTCATTGCCTCCATATCAATGCTTAATTGCTGGCTTCTATGAAGGTATCTAATACTGAATATGATGAGCACAAAGGAAGAATAGCAATTGGACGGCTGCATGCAGGAGAACTTCAGCGTGGCATGGAGGTCAAGGTATAAATCTGCTCTGCTTGTGCATGTTTTGGCATAATAATGTGAACATGAACATTCCAGTTAGAAAGTTATATAAAACGTGGTAGTATCACAGACAGGCTCAACCAAAGGAGAGATTGAAATTTCTGCTGAGTGAAAATAACCATTTACAGTGAGGTGTTATATGGTTCTTTACTACATATATGTTGGATAAAGTATTACTGAGTCGATGCCACAATGCTGGTAAATTTCATTTGCAATATAATAAAATGTATAGCATTTTTTATGAGTACCTGAGTTTTGCCTTCTCTATTTGAGATTGGCGCCTTATGATTCATCTCAAATTTCTTGAGAAAGTCTGTGAGTAAAGCAAATCATATATAAGATAAAAGGAACTGCTGGGATTAATTGAGGCCTGAGCAGCCTCCACATCTCTTTATCTTACATTTTAGAAGCTCATTTGGTGCATTCTATTTCGAATTTTATCCTTATGATCCCAACATGCATGTGAGCAAATGTTATGATATAGTCAGAAATTATTGTGTTTTATGTGAACGAACTGATAGCTTGGTGGTTCACTGTTGTGCAACGAACCGGTTGTGAGTTTGGTTCCCAGACTTGCATGTGGGTGCGCAAATATGTGTGGTGGGCGGTGGTTAGATGTGCCCAATAGTGGTGCTCCTCGGTCGAGTTTGTGCCCGGATGCTGCACTAAAAAATGCCCCTCGCTGTATGCAGCCTTCGGGGCCCTTTGCTGGCCCAAAGTGATTATGGTTTCTACCTCTCAAACAATGCCGTTGGGGTAGTCTTCCCTTGGGGTTAAGTTTTTTTTTTTGTGTTTTATAAATGAAAGTATTGTGATATATTGGGTCTTCAGATTCAGTTTCTCGTTATATGTATTTCATCTATTGAAGGATCTGAGTCTAGCTCAATCCGTGGAAGGTGTGGCTTAACCCTGCACCACCCAGGTTTGGGTCCTCTTCGACTCAAATTCGGTTACATATTTCTTCTTATATATAATGCCACATGGTTCCTCCTTGTTGGTCAAGTTTTTATTTCATCTATTGGTTCCAAAGTCTATTAAGTCTTCTTTTGAATAAAATTAGAAAATTTTCTTCACCTGTTATCATATTATTGCAGTAGAGTTTCTATTGATTAAGATATTTTTCAGGTTTGTACACCAGATGATGCTTGCAGGGTTAGTAAAGTAAGTGAGCTTTTTGTTTATCAGAACTTCAGCCGCGTCCCCGTTGAATCTGTTAGTGCTGGTGACATTTGTGCTGTATGTGGAATGGATGGTATCATGGTAGGTGTCTGTGCATTCATATTCATTATTCAATCTTCCAGTTCATATTTATACTTATAACATGATTCTATATGCTTTGAACTATCCAGATTGGGGAAACTATAGCTGATAAAGTTACAGGAACACCATTGCCCACTATCAAAGTGGAGGAGCCAACAGTCAGAATGTCTTTCTCCATCAATACATCACCTTTTGTTGGACGGGAGGTATGTCTATCCTCCATGCTAACAAAAAATATGTTATATCACTTCCTAACATGCTCTTCTGTGTTAAAGAGTTGGGAAATCCATAAAATATACCCTCATTACTCCATATGATCTCTTGTATTCTGTATTCGTTGTTCTAAATTCGTGCAGTCAACCTTCTAGAAGCCATAATTATAGATAAAAGGTTTTCTCAGTTTTCACGTTAAAATGGTATTTTGTACACTTGCCATAAAAGTACTTTGGCATTGTTATGCTTCAATAATTTTTGTTAACTACAATGAGGAAACTAATAATCGAAAGTTGGTATTGTTAAGCTAAATTTCTTCTATATCTTAATGAATTGTGTAAATGATTGCCCTCCATGATAGTGTCCTTACATCACTTGTGAAATACTATACCATGTTAAATATAATGCAATAGTTTGGTTTATTCTCTTTCTAGAATACTGACAAATTTACTTCTTCTCATTCACTTTATTATAGGGGAAATACGTTACTAGCCGAAATCTCCGTGACAGGTTGTATCGCGAGCTCGAAAGGAATTTGGCTATGAAAGTAGAAGATGGGGAAACTGCTGATACATTTCTTGTTAGTGGCAGAGGCACACTGCATCTCACAATATTGATAGAGAATATGTAAGAACTTAAATTTGGTAGTTTCATTAATTCAGTGACTTTTGGTTGTCTTAAGAACAATGTGAACTTTGCAGGCGGAGAGAAGGATATGAATTTATGATTGGACCTCCAAAGGTCATAAACAAGATAGTGGATGGAAAACTACTAGAGCCTTATGAGGTAAGTCTATACTTTATTGTATATAGAGAGTTGGAATACATTTATTTACTGATTTATTAGCAATAAACCTCTTTTTTTTATTACTTCATTATTCCTGGAACTCCTTTGTCCTTAGTTCCCAACTTCCCATTTAATTAATATGTGCTGTTATGCTACAGATAGCTGCTGTTGAGGTCCCAGAGGAGTCCATGGGATCAGTTGTTGAGCTTTTGGGGCAAAGGCGTGGACAAATGGTTGACATGGAAGCTGACGGGTTTGTGCCATACTTTCATTATCTCATCAAATCGGTGAAATGCTTGTTTACAATCTGTATACTATTTTGATATAGGAATGGCTATAAGACTAGTGCCAATATTCTTCCGACTTATCACGCTTCAACTGGTTTCTTAGAACAACCTTAGAGTCCAGTGCTTCAGTCCAGCATTTCCATCCTTGAATGACATACAATATTTATTTTCAACACAATATTTTTATAACTACTAGTACTAAGTAAGGGTGTAAAAGTAAGTTTCATAATCCATGCACCAATCTAAGTGAATACAGTATGGGACTAAGAGTACAACAACAACAACAACAAAGCCTTTAAGTCCCAAACAAGTTGGGGTAGGCCAGAGTTGAAACCCAACAGAAACAATCAAGGTTCAGGCACGTGAATAGCTGTCTTCCAAGCATTCCTATCTAAGGCTAAGTCTTTGGGTATATTCCATCCTTTCAAGTCTCCTTTTATTGCCTCTACCCAAGTCAACTTCGGTCTTCCTCTGCCTCTCTTCACGTTACTATCCTGACTTAGGATTCCACTACGCACCGGTGCATCTGAAGGTCTCCGTTGCACATGTCCAAACCATCTCAACCGGTGTTGGACAAGCTTTTCTTCAATTGGCGCTACCCCTAATCTCTCACGATATCATCGTTCGAACTCGATCCCTTCTTGTATGCCCAAGAATCCAAATGAAGATACGATTTTCGCGACACTTAGTCGTTGAATATGTCGCTTTTTCAGAGGCCAACATTTCGCACCATACAACATAGCAGGTCTAATCGCCGCCCTATAAAACTTGCCTTTTAGCTTCGTGGTACCCTTTTGTCACATAGGACACCAGACGCTTGCCGCCACTTCATCCACCACGCTTTGATTCTATGGCTAACATCTTCATCAATATCTCCATCCCTCAGTAGCATTGATCCTAAATATCGAAAGGTATCCATCCTAGGCACTACTTGACCTTCCAAACTAACATCTTCCTCCTCCCGAGTAGTAGTGCCAAGTCACATCTCATATACTCGCTTTTAGTTCTACTAAGTTTAAAACCTTTGGACTCCAAAGTCTCCCCGCCATAACTCCAGTTTCGATTCACTCCTCGTCCGCTTTCATCAACTAGCACTACATCGTCATGAAAAGCATACACCAAGGGATGTCCCTTGTATGTCCCTTGTGATCTCATCCATCACTAAAGCAAACAAATAAGGGCTCAAAGTCGACCCTTGATGTAGTCCTATCCTAATCGGAAGTCATCCGTGTCTCCATCACTTGTTCGAACTCTAGTCACAACATTGTTGTACATGTCCTTAATGAGCCCGACGATTTCGTTGGGACTTTATGTTTGTCCAAAGCCCACCACATAACATTCCTTGGTATTTTATCATAAGCCTTCTCCAAGTCAATAAAAACCATGTGTAGGTCCTTCTTCTTCTCCCTATACCGCTCCATAACTTGTCTTATTAAGAAAATGGCTTCCATGGTTGACCTTAGGGCATGAACCCAAATTGGTTCATAGAGACCAGCGTTATTGTTTCTCAAGCGATGCTCGATAACTCTCTCCCATAGCTTCATAGTATGGCTCATCAACTTAATTCCCCAGAATTTGTACAACTTTGAATATCCCTTTATTCTTGTAGATCGGTACTAATATACTTCTCCTCCACTCATCGTGCATCTTGTTTGATCGAAAAATATGGTTGAACAACTTGGTCAACCATACTACAATTTATGTCCCCGAGGCATCTCCACACCTCGATTGGGATACCATCCGGTCCCATCGCCTTACCTCCTTTCATCCTTTTCAACGCCTCTCTGACCTCAGATTCTTGGATTCTCCGCACAAAGCGCCTATTGGTGTCATCAAAAGAGTCATCCAACTGAAAGGTTGTGTCCATATTCTCACCATTGAACAATTTGTCAAAATACTCTTGCCATCGATGTCGGATCTCATCCTCCTTTACCAAGAGATGCTCCCTTTCATCCTTAATGCACTTAACTTGGTTGAAGTCCCGTGTCTTTCTCTTACGAACCCTAGCCATCCTATAAATGTCCTTCTCTCCTTCCTTCGTACTCAAATGTTGATAAAGATCCTCGTACGCTCTACCCTTTGCCACACTTACAACTCGCTTTGCAGCCTTCTTTGCCACCTTGTACTTCTCTATGTTGTCCACACTCTCTGTCATGGTACAAGCGCCTATAGCATTCTTTCTTCTCCTTAATAGCCCTTTGGACTTCCTCGCTTTCCACCACCAAGTGTCTTTAGCCTCGCGCCCCTTCCTTTGGTTACTCCACACACCTCCGAGGCTACCTTCCGAATGTTGGTTGCCATCTTGTCCCACATATTGTTTATGTCGTCTTCTTCCTTCCAAGAGCCCTCTTTGATAACCCTTTCCTAAATACCTCCGACGTCTCCCCTTTCTGGGCTTCCACCACTTTGTTCTTTCAATCTTAGCTTGTTTATCCCTACAGCACGCTTTGAAAACGTAAAAATCGCCACCAAAAGCTTATGTTGAGAAACAACACACTCCTCGGTATCACCTTGCAATCCAAGCATGCTGCGTTTGTCCTTTCTTCTTGCGAGGACAAAGTCAATGCAGCACTGAGTGTTGTCCGCCATCAAGGTCACTAGATGAGATTCTCTCTTTCTAAAGAAAGTGTTGGCTATCATCAGGTCAAAAGCTACCGCCAAGTCCGTAACTTCCTCCCCTCCCGATTCCTACTACCATACCCAAAACCTCCATGAGCGCCTCGAAACTCCAGGCTTGTAGTACCTACATGCCCATTAAGATCTCCTCCTATAAAAAGCTTCTCACTACTAGGTATAGCTCTAACCAAAGCCATCTAAGTCTTCCGTAATCTGTCTCTTAGCACTCTCGTCGAGACCTACTTGGGGGGCATACGCACTAATTACGCTCAAGACCATATCACCAACAACAAGCTTGACTAAGATAATCCTATCTCCTTGCCTTCTCACTCCCACCACACCATTCTTGAGGCTCTTATCAATCAAAACTCCTACTCCATTTCTATTCATGATCGTCTCGTGTACCAAAGCTTGAAACCCCTGATTGTCCACCTCCTTCGCCTTTCCGACCCTTCCATTTAGTCTCTTGAACGCATAATATATTTACACGCCTCCTAGTCGCGGTATCAACTAATTCTCTTAACTTACCGTAAGTGACCCTACATTCCAACTACCTAAACGGATCCTAGTTGGTTCGACTAGCTTTCTTACCCTTCGCACCTGGTCGACTCGATGCTAAGACCCTTGCTCATTTTCACACTACACCCGGCGCCGATGTAGCGCGCCACTAAGGAAGCGATTTAACCGATCCTTGGTTACTTGACACCATGCCCAGATCACGACACTGGCACACACGGGGTGACGACCGGCCCTGCCCATTTAACACCATACCGGGTTCCGATATGTATGGTCGCTAAGAGGGTTACGCCCCAACGATTTTCTTTCGGGTTTCATCTCCATTTAAGTGGCTAAGTTTTTACATTGGCTCGCCATGCCTAACACAACCCTCCTCCTTTACCAGGGCTTGGGACCTGCTATGCTGGGACACCAAAGGCGCCCCACCGTATGGGACTAAGAGTAAACTTAATTAAATACTCTTAGCGTCATGTATATTTGAAACAATTTTATTTGAGGAAAAAACTGAAACTTCAATATGAACCTATCCAAACTAACAAAACCCGTCAATTTTCTGTGAGTTCAACAATGGTCAGTTTGCACAATTTAGTTGGGAGCTGCTATCTCCTTAATTATGAATCATTTATCTTATCTGCCGACAGGGTAGAAATCGTGCAACAGGTGAATTGCTCTAGTTTACGAAAAAAGTCACTTTTGAATTAAAAGGGGATTAAGATAAGCTTAATTATTGACTTGGCTTGTATTAATCATATTATACTCCAGTCTTTTGCGTTCTGCTTTGTGTTATTGAGTCATTGCCTTGATGAGTATCATTTTGAATGGTAGGCCGGAGGGAACAACATTGCTGAAATACAAGATTCCTACCAGAGGCCTCATTGGACTTCGGAATGCAATTCTTACAGCTTCTCGTGGCAGAGCTATACTGAACACAATCTTTGACAGCTATGGCCCATGGGCTGGGGATCTTAGCTCACGTGATCAGGGATCCTTGGTATGAATAAGTTCAAAATAAGAGCAGTGAGGTTTTCTCTGACATTGTCCCCAGCATCTAACTTCCAATAAAATGATATAGGTTGCTTTTGAAGATGGAAGCACTACTTCTTACGCACTTCTTAATGCACAAGAAAGAGGTGTGTTGTTTGTCCAACCAGGGCAGGATGTTTACAAAGGTCAAATTGTTGGTATCCATCAAAGACCTGGTGATTTAGCAATTAATGTGTGCAAGAAAAAGGCTGCTACAAATGTTCGTTCTAACAAGGAAACTACAGGTAATAATTTATTTTCTCTCAGCACTTCGCAGTTTGATGGTTTTCTTTTTTCGCTGCTACCAGACCTGCAACCTTTTAATTCTTATATATGACGAAATTTGTGTACCGTGACTGTGAGTTCTCTTCTGAAAAGCTTTCCAATTTAGCTACTGCAAAATAAATGTTAAAATTTTGGAACAAGAAAGAGTAGAGATCTTGGAATATAGTCAAATTGCAGGCAATGTAGGTTGTTCTTCCTGAGAAGCAGCAAGTGCTGAAATGAGCAACATATACATGGAAATGCTTTAATACTATACCAATATTTGTATCTATTGACTCTTAGGTTTTGATCCAAGTGCTGAATTCTGTGTGTTTCATATTTTGCAGTGGTTCTTGATGAAGCTTTAAGCTACAGTTTGGATGACTGCATAGAGTTTATCCAAGAAGATGAGCTAGTGGAGGTTACTCCTGCAAGCATCCGCATGTGCAAGAACCCAAAAATTTCAAAGAAAAAGTAAAGTCGCATCGATTTTCTCAAGGCGTCAGCTTCAGATAGGAGCTGCATGCTCCATTGCCAGGTCTGGTATGACGGCTGCATGGCGTCCCACACAAGTTAGTAATCAGGCTATTTTTGGTGGTCTACAGACAAAAAACTAAAGGTTGCCAGATTGATATGGCAGTTTTGTGATGATTAAATCAGCTGATTAGTCTATCGGAGTAGCATTTTGGGCCGCCGATAAGGCGTGCACTATTTCCACAGCAATCTCAGCTGTTACACATATATTTGTAGGTCATATATAGGTACTGTACATGATTAAACAAAATTCTGGGCAATTATGAACTGAATATTTAAGGGAAGAACTTTTTTTTTTGAAATCAGATTATAGGGAAGAACATAACATTACATATATATGGACCCATATATTTAGGTACTATAATGGTTACATTAGTGGGTCGCTACAAAATGATAAAGACTGTTGCCCCATGCTCCTTGGCTACAAAATGATAGGAAGGATAGGGCTACAAATGAGTAATGTTTACATTAGTGGGTGGCTTTCCACCACTGAATAATAAACTTCCTAAGTCACTGCAGAGTGCAAGCTGCTTACATCCTAGTCCCCTAGCTACAAAAAATTTGGTGGTGCAGTCCCCTGGCACAGCTTCTCCTCACTACAAGCTGAACCCCCCAGCATATCTCCGAACAGCTTCTTGACCAGAGACTAGAAACTGTTGCTCCATGCTCTTTGGCTCCGAATGATTCCTGAGTTAGTTCTTGACCAGAAAGTAATCTTCTACTTACAGATCAATGAGCAGCCACCGCCCAGCGTTCTGGTGGCCATGTTGCCAAAGTCCGGCACCGCGCAGTTGGTCGGCACTTTAGCCAGTAAAGACCTGCAGAAGTCATCAAGGTCTCCTGCCATGGCGCCAGTGTTGGGTACCACCCAACTGCTCTGGACTCCTGTTGCCATGGCGCCGGTGTTGGGTACCACCCAGCTGCTCTGGACCCCTGTTGCCATGGCGCCCTTGTTGGGCACCACCCAGCTGCTCTGGACCCCTGTTGCCATGGCGCCGATGCTGGGCACCACATAGCTGCTCTGGACCCCTGTTGCCATGGCGCCATTGTTGGGCACCACCAAGCTGCTCTGGACCCCTGTTGCCATGGCGTCGGTGTTGGGCGCCACCCAGCTCTGGACCTCTGTGGACTGCTCCTGATCAAAACTGTTATTGCTCTCCACATCAACCCCTATCGAGCTCCAGAACTCCAGTTCTCCTGCAGATAGCTGCCGCACCACCGGCATGGTCACCTGCGCCTCCAACTCTGGGTACTGCTCTGACGCTGCGGACGGGAAGCACTGCAAGTCGCAGCTATCAAGAAGAGGGAACTCTGGGTACTGCTCTGACGCTGCGGACGGGAAGCACTGCAAGTCGCTGCTATCAAGAAGAGGGAACTCTGGGTACTGCTCTGACGCTGCAGACGGGAAGCACTGCAAGTCGCTGCTATCAAGAAGAGGGAACTCTGGGTACTGCTCTGACGCTGCGGACGGGAAGCACTGCAAGTCGCTGCTATCAAGAAGAGGGCTCTGCCGGAAGTTGTCGTCATCGGTCAGAACGAGGTGTGAGGATTCTTCGTCTCCAGAAGCATACGCCACGCCCGAGGAGCAGTGATCGAGCATTGCCCCAGAACAAGGAAGAGCTGACGCGGTGGCGCCGACGCGCGCGTGACCACTACTCTGGCAGACTTCTTGCCCATCCGGCACGCGCATGCGCTTCCGCCCGTGGCCGCTGAAGGCAATGTGGCAGATTTTGACGGGCGACGGGCAGGGCGGCGCGGCGATGGTGTACTCGTGCATCACCCACCCGACGCTGCCGCTGTCCTTGCCTTTGCCCATATGCAGGTTGAGATTGCTGACGTGGACCCTGATCCTCTTGCCTCGGACGCGCAGGCACTTCTCGAGGCTGCTCTGCATCTTCCAAATCCCGACGCCGCCGTCGCAGCCGCGGTCCTGGCAGGCGCCGGGTTTCTTGGCTTCGCTGGCGCGCACGATGAAATAGGCCTCGTCCTCGCTCCCCACGCCGTGGCGCTCGAAGAGGTCCCAGGGCAACGTGCTTTCGCCGCGTCGTCCTCGAAGATGACGCCGGGGAATGGATCCTGGCCACGGGCGCGCGGGAGGAGGTAGAACTTGACCAGCTCGCGCTTCGTAGGCCGGAACCTGTAGGTGGGTGGGGATGGGATCTGCTCCGTCGCCGCCGCCATGGATGGGAAGGGATTTGCTTCTCCGACGGCTAGAGGCTTCAGCGTGGATTGGGATCAGGAAAGGGGCACGGGTGTATACACTTGCATACCTGATATTTATATCGTCCACGCAACTGAGATTTCAGCGCGGAGTGCCTTCCCCGCTCCCCTCACAGAACGGAAAACGGGAAAAGCACGCGAAAAGTCAATTTTACCCTCGCCCCTTTCTACCGTAGCAGCAGCGACTCCGTGGATCTTTGTCGGTCCTGGAGTATATATGTTTTTTTTAATTTTTGTTTAACCGGCTGAAACTTGCCAAAAATCATATAAAAGCATAGAAAATTCATGAAATGGAAAACCAAGTTTTGTTAGTCTTCACATTAGTAGGTCTACATATTAGAAGTGAATAATCACATGTTTAATATTCTGTGTTTTTTGTACAATTAAATATGTGTTATTGCTTTATAAATCTTTATAGGGAGTTTCTATTAGCCATAAATCTTGAAATTTTTGCAGTATGTTAGACTACTATAAAAAAAATCAAGATTTAAGACTAACATAAACTCCATAAACTAATTTATCAAGGAATAACATATATCAATCTTTATACAACCAAATGTGTTAAAACATGTTGTTTTATACTTTTCGTGTATACATATGGGTATTGGAAGAATAACAAAATTTTGTTTTGCCATTTTACAATTTTTCTGTATTTTTTTAATGATTTTTACAAGTTCCAGCTAAAATAAAACAGAGGAAAAAGGGAAAACCATAAGAGACAAGGACTTTGCATTTGGGCCCCTGGATTTCTCACATACCAACCCACAGTCTAGTGCACTATTCGGTAGCATTTACTTCAGTCTGTAGTTTGTGTATAGCCCCCTCTCTTTGACCCTATTCTAATCCTCGAGTCTTTTTTTTCAAAATCAGAGCACCTGAACATGGAAGAGCAGTCGATTCGGTCGGGGATGGGATCAACAGTGACAAGGGAGGGTGCACTGGGGGCACCATGGTGTTCGACCACACCTGTATGTGCCCTCATTGTGGCTGGAGATGGTAGACGATGTGTTGGCGACGTGTGACGACAGCGGCACCAACAGCCGCGCAAATAACCGAGGCCGTAGCGAGCTCCAGCCGCAGAGGTTGCTGCTAGCTTTGTCGGAGAGGGGCCACGGTCGGGCATAGTGCCCGCGGGGGAGCATGGACAACGCGGAGGCGAGCCTGAGCGATGAGCGATGCGCGATGCGTCTGCCATTGGTGCCCATGGAGGTGGAAGAAAGAAGGAAGAGATGTGGGAACAAGGGCAAAATGGTATTTTTTATGGCTTGGTCCAAGACCGCCTCTCTTCCACGTTGGCATGGTGATGTGTCATGCCACATCAGCAAAAATGACAGAATGTAGTGCATATATTGTTTTCGCTAGGGATGGCAACGGGGATTCGGGTTGGGTGGAGTCTCCGTGGACCTGAACCTAAAACCCAAACTCATAATCCGAAATCGCCCTGAACATCGATTTAGGTGAAAATCCACCCCGCCTCCAAACCTGGTGCATCCTCGAAACCTGATTAGTTTCTCGAAACCTGAAACTCACCACCATATGATGGTACAATAAAAGTAATAAGGTATTTTTGGAAACACATGCATGATATATACTAAATATTCACATGTATAAAAAAAGAGGCAACAAATAACACATAATTTCATGACTCAACTTAGAACAAACTTAATTACTAACCGAAACAATTTAATTATAATAAAATGCATGAGTTTTTATTCAAAACAATTTATTTGGGTCCCCATTGGGCATCCGTGGGTGGAAACCGAACTTGATAAGTTTTGGGTCCCTGAACCCAAAAATTGTAGGAGGAATCAGAGTTCGTATGCGAAAGTTATGCTTGCTTTACTAATGGACTTTGAATTAGAGGACAAAACGGGAAGAAAGTGTGGAAAATTGGCAACGGCTAGGGTTTGATGGAAACAGTGGGGGAAAACACATGAACTGGACTCAAACATAATCTAATCAGCAACAAAACTTTGACCTAGGATACAAACTCAACACGACGGGCTCTGAGATTGAATTATGCAAAGGCTATGGTGTGGATGGTTGTAGGACAGGAAAAATGAGTATGGTAGTGGACTATGGGATGAGGCGAAAACACTCAAACTAGGGTAAGATGTGAACATGACGGTATACCTAAAGCTCTAATTACCACTTGATAGTGACGGGGTTCTCAATCTTCTATCATGTGAATATAATTATCGTTTTGGCGGAGCATGACACACTAATTCGGCTTCAGATCAAAAGACCCGAACCCTGGAACCTTAGCACTATGACTCCTCGATCTGGGTATCAACCATGTCACAAATCCGCTTGACCTCGACAAGAAGGATATTCCCTGCCTATGAAACAAAGAACACAAGCAAGAACTTGAAAGCATGCAACTCAATTGAAGTGACAATTGTAGATGAATGATTAAGCGGTTGAAGTTGGGGTTTCACAACCGATGATGACGACCATTGGAAGACAGATTAATCTAAAGCAAACTCAAACCCTAACATGTGTACGTGATGATGACTCAATATATGGTCGAAGGGTTGTCCACATCCCATGGACGTGCCCCCTAACAGGCTATAAGACGACACACGATCCAACGGACCAAAAGAAAGTGACGCAACACCCTGGTAGATTTTTACGATTCCCATTGACTCTAGTTGAATTTGGACATCAAATCAAATTCATTGGTTAGCTTATGAAATTATCTTTTCATGCATATATGGATCATCGAAAATGAGGTCCATATGCGTCATAGGTGCCTTTTCTATTGTAGGCTGGTCCTGAAGACCAAGATTGACTCAAACTCAAGTTGGACTAGGCCTCTAGCTTGACTTGGAGGTCCTTGCTGGTATTCTCTGCCTCCACACCTCTCTCCATGTACTTCATGACCTTCTCCAATGTTCCTAAGCAAGATAACATCGTTACGTAGCAATCTATTCTCAAACTATAAAAATGATCGCTTAAGAATGAGCTCACCTCTAAATTTAATTGTCACATTCAAGCTTGGGTCGTTGGACGTTGCTAGTGGTTGGAGGATCAACGGGTGTACCAAAGGAGTGATGTCCTCATCACCTCACCCACAAACTCTAGCCTCAAACTCAAGAACACCAAGAACAAATAAACCACCTAGGTTCTGTTGATGTCCTCACGGACCATCCGGGAGAACGCCAGACCATCTGTGAGATCACCTAGAGCCAACATAGCTCAAGTACACGCTTATACGGTTCCCCTGAACTATCCAATGTTCGCGCGGCGTCCAAAGGAACCCTAGACCATCCGCGGGAACATCGAGCTCCCAACCTAGAAAACACCCCCTTTAGGAATGTACTTGCGGACATTCTGGAAGCACGTCGGACCGTCTAAAAATATTTATGAATATTTATTTCTGTAAACCCTTAACCCCTGAACCCAACCACCCTAGCATATGTTTAGATACCTCCTAGTACAACCCTAGTTTACCCTTTGATCCATCCAATGAGCTTCCTAATTTAGATCACACATTTATATCTCTTATTGCTCAAGTTCATCGATCTCCCTCGGGTCTAATCCCTAATGTGAGATACGCGTAAGAGTCATCATGATCACCCTTGATCACTGGGACTTCATGATAGGCGGACACCACTACTAATAACCCATACTTTGGATACTCATGTGACACATGTTCATTAAATGTTGAATTTCATTCCAATGTTGCTTAATCAACTAAGTATGACTCACTAAAGTTAGTTCAACCTACTTAATTAAAGTTAGCCCCTTTTTCTACTAATTGGTCTCGAGACGCTTAACATGCTTAGTTAGCTAGAACAGGTAGAAGTCGAGTGTGAGCGGGAATCCACTCTCACACGTGTAGATGGTTCATCGGGTTTAAACAACATTAAAACATACAATTGTGATCTAACTTGGTTTAGTCTAGCAACTTGCTTAAGGACCAACCCTTCACTAGACTTAATTGTGAACTTGATGTGAGCTTTAACTCAACAAGGGGTAAGGTCACTATGAGTGTTGGATCTCGAGTGATGTAGCTTGTGGAGTAGTTATGGAATGTCCTGTGGGATAGTAAGTTTGAGTAACCCAAACGTACAGACCACATGTCACGTATGGGAGCATGAAAGCCCTAGTTTGGTTTTGGATAATTGATGAAACCTTAGCGTAGTAACCTTTGTCTAAGTGATGGATGAGATAGGTTGGTACACACCAAGTGTGGAGCTAGATGATGGCATCCATGGTGATGGAGGTGGCCAAAAGATGGATCAAGTGCTCCAACTTAGAAAAGGCGAAAGAGAAAAACAAAAATCCTATGGACATCAAGGCAAAGGTATTAATAGGAATTTTATTTTGCCAATCAAGACACCATAGAGGGTGTGATTGGGTTTAGGATAGATAGCCATACTATTAAGAGGGGTAATCTCAAAGTGATTACGATTATCTAAGTGCCACTAGGTGAATTGACTCCATGCATTTGCATTAGGACCTAGTGAGTGCTAACATCCCTTGGAAAACATGTTTGTGAAATGCTAACTCATGTACACAAGTGTTGGGGTTATGATCTTAGGGTGTCTCAAGGCATCGATTAGTTAGCAGGCCGAGCGTTCCACGACACATCAGCTACCGAAAGCCCATACGATCAAGGCCTAGCCGAGCCGAGCGGACTAGGATAGATGCTAAGACTGGGGTAGGCCACAACCCCTCCCATCTGTCTTAGCTGCGCACACAACATGGGTCTATAACACCCTGAATTTTGACCTAGTTTAAAAATCACTAAAAATTGAAACTTTTTCGAAACTTTGCATAGGAACTAACATATATATTTAACATAGGTATTAGTTTAGTATAAATAGGTTAACATAGAAATAGAACCATAGGTATAGAATTGTGTGCATGAATGTTTGCTTGCCTGTTGAACATATGGTGGTACACCTTGCATGCATTCATATACAAATTTGAATTTAAATGCATTCAAAACTTAGTATAGGAAATCTAGGAAAAAGAAAAAGAGAATGGAAATAGGAAATGAGCACTGGGCTCATTTTTCCTCTTGGCCCACAACAGCAGTAGCAGCCCATCCTCCCCTCTCTTCTTCCTCCCCCCCCGCGCTAGGCTGGACCGTTGCCGCGCCCTGGCCCAACTCGCACCCGCACCCTTCCTTCTCTCCCTCTCACAGATGCGTTCGTCACCTACCTCGGGTCATGAAAGTGCAATCAAGCCTTAATTATGGGTTTTGGTGATAATGACCACGCAATTAGAGAACTAATGAGATTTATCGAGACAACAAGAAGGGAATTTATATTCGAGGATGCTACACGAAATGGAGGAGCCCCCAATTATAAATGTAGATGGCTTCAAACTCAAAGGAGGTTTAAATTTTTTTATATATTGAATTTGAGTATAGGAAAAGTCATACTATAAAGGGGGGCACAATGCTTAAGTTAATATGTGCTACCGAGTGCTCAAATAACCACATGCATCCTCAGATTCACAGCCAAGACAGTCTACACTTCACTATTACCCTTAATGTCTTGTGTGGTGCGGTGGTGCGACACTGCTGCACTTGAAGAGAGGCTCTCCAACCCCTTGGTCGTGGGCTCTGGCTCTCCCGACCCCTTGCTCGT